CTTAACTGACTGAGCCACCTGTAATCTACTACTTTTAAAATCAATATCAAAAGCACACAGCTTTAATCCAATTTCACGTAAGGTAAATGAAAATAAAAATAGACGAAGCAAGGGGTGCCTGGGTGGCTCAGTGGGTTAAAGCCTCTGCCTTCAGCTCAGGTCATGATCCCCGGGTCCTGGGATCGAGCCTCACATCAGGCTCTCTGCTCAGCAGGGAGCCTGCTTCCCCCACCCCTCTCTGCCTGCCTCTCTGCCTACTTGTGATTTCTGTCAAATAAATAATAAAATAAAATAAATCTTTAAAAAAAAAATAGGCAAAGCAAAAGAACAAGAAAAGGAAAAATGCTTTACCAAGGATTGTTAAATGTGCTATTCCAGTAAGACATGTAAATCATGCTATATAGTTAAATAAAATACCTAAATAAAAATTACTTATCTTCCTCAGAAACCTCTGTACCCTGGATACCTTTCTCTTTCTGGAGCTACTAACAAGGGCTCTGAAAACTACCAAAACTGGGGTGCCTGGGTGGCTCTGGCTCAGTGGGTTAAAGCCTCTGCCTTCAGCTCGGGTCATGATCCCGGGGTCCTGGGATCAGCCCCCGCAGCAGGCTCTCTGCTCAGCAGGGAGCCTGTTTCCTCCTCTCTCTCTGCTTGCCTCTATGCCTACCTGTGATCTCTGTCAAATAAATAAATAAAATCTTTAAAAAAAAACAAAAAAAACTACCAAAACTTTCCCAGACATATAAAAATCCAGCCACTGCAGAGTAATGTTCTCTTTTTCCTTTTTGCCCCAACCATTATCCTGCTCACCTACTATCCAGATAGCTGTCTACTTACTGGTTTTCAGACAGACCAGTGAAGATGTGTTATGTTCCCTTTTAGTAAACACTAATCCTTTTAGGTTTGGCAGTAATAATATATCCTTAAAAAAAAAAAAAAAAGACTTTACTTATTCATTTGAGAGAGAGAGAGAACATGAGCAGGGGAGAGAGGAAGGAAGAGGGGAAAGCAGACTCAGCAGGGAGCCTGATGTGGGGCTCAATCCCAGGACCCCAGGATCACGACGTGAGCTGAAGGCAGACGCCTAACCATCTGAGCCACCCAGGTGTCCCAGCAATAATATAATATATCCTTAAGTTGTAAGCAATGTGCTTACAATTTTGTAACACAGGCTAAACATCTTGTCTTGTTAACAGACCAGTATAAATGAACCAAACCAGGTTCTCCAAAGGCAAAAAGTCAGTCCAAACTTAAGATTTTCAATGTATCTGGGTAGCTCAATCAGTTAAGCATTCGACTCCTGATTTTGGCTCGCGTCATGATCTCAGGGTCCTGGGACTGAGCCCCGCATCTGGCTCTGAGAATTCTCTCCCTCTCCCACTCTCTGGCCCCGCCAGCCCCTGGCTCCTGCACACAAGCGTGCACATGTTCCCTCTCTCTCTCTCTCAAATAAAGTAAATCTTTTCTTTCTTTTTAAGATTTTATTTATTTATTTCACAGAGAGAGAGAGATCACAAGTAGGCAGAGAGGCAGGCTGGGGGTGAGGGGAAGCAGGCTCCCTGCTGAGCAGAGAGCCCGATGCAGAGCTGGATCCCAGGACCCCGAGATCATGACCTGAGCCGAAGGCAGAGGCTTAACCCACTGAGGCACCCGGGCACCTCTCAAATAAAGTAAGTCTTAAGGGGAAAAAAAAAAGTTTTCAATGTGATAGTCTCAGAATAACAATGAAAAATTACCCACTAAAATTTCCCTACCAGAGAGAAATGTTCATCAGACCTATTAACTCTAACACTGTAAGAGAATTCACAAAAAAGCAATGTGTACTTGCACACCATAGTAAACCAAGAAGCTTATGTTGAAATCTTGAAATCTTTCAAATTAAAATAATCAAATAAAGGGTCATGGTTAATTTGTTTATAAATCCAAGGAGCTGAGGCTAGAGATGGGTGGAATCCATTCAGAGTACTCTAAGACAACATGATTTACCTATTCTTCAGATCAGTTTTCTTTTGTCCCCCATCTGTGGTCTAAACACAGCCACGAAACCACCAAAAACCGACCTGCATTTTTAAGAAAATGGAAGTGTACAGTAGATGAGAAAGTACCAGACTGCTTTGCACATATATTCATATAGTGAAACTTGTTTCCGTATGTGTACAGGGTCAATGTAAATGTGTATCTTAGCAAGGGTCAAGATCAAAAGTCTGAGACACATTTATCCAAAAGAATTCCAGCAAAGAAAAGGCTTAAAGCAGGAGAAAATCTAATAAGCATCTAACGCAACGCAAAGTCCACCTCTATCCAAAACATATTTGCCATTATTTTAGGCAGCCAAACAAACACAGGATGCAATCGTGTTTAGAGTGCAAGAAATGGTAAAAACTTAATTAAATTCTCCTTTTATCCAATGGAGTGATGATCTCTCTACTTCTGAAGAGATAACCGTTAGGATTTAGTGATCCATTTATCAAAGGCTACTTCCTAGACACTTCACCCATCTTCTCCCTCCAATTTCCAATTACTAAAATAAAAGATTTAGACAAGATAATCAACTCCAGTATGTCATGTTACTTATTTATTTTTATAAGTTTATTTAAGTAATTTCTACACCCAATGTGGGGCTTAAACCTATGACCCAGAGATCAAGAATCACATATTCCTCCGCTGAGCCATGCAGGAACCCCTAGCATCTGTTACTTTAAATCAATGGTTTTCTTCTCTTTTTTTTTTTAGTTTATTTTTTTAGTCATCTCTACACCCAACGTGAGGCTTGAAGTCACCACCCCGAGATCAAGAGTCACATGCTCCTCCAACCAAGCAATCCAAGCGCCCCTAAATCAATAGTTTTCGAGTGATTCTGCACCACCACCACTGACACCCCGAGGGCATCTGGCAACGTGTGGAGACATTCTGATAAGTCACAAATGGGGGTAAGCGAAGAGGTGAGAGGCATATATTAGCTCAAAACATCAATAATGCTGCAAGAAACCCTATAGATCAAGATTGAATTCCTTTTGAACCTAAATAAATTAGAGACAAATAACCTTAATCTAGCGTCCTTTAGTTCTTATAAACTCAGCAGAAGCAGCTGCATTACTAGCACACCTACAAACAGTTTTTAACGATACGAAACTGATTTGTCCTCTTGCAAGTGTCAGAGATCACAGAAATCTCTCCTCTGTTCATTTTAAGAACAAGTGAAATTAACTTTCTTTTGTACAATGTCACAAAGGTCTGTAATCAGAAGTGTACTTCATATATAGTTGAACTTACAGTATTTAAACATTTTTCTATTAACCTTAAGTCAGTGAACAAGAGAGCAATTTAGATTCTGATAAAGCCATCATGTAATGAAAATTTCTTTATTTTTACAAAACATCTTCAAATCAGCTCAATGGTTGTTATCAACAGGTGATTACAATGTCTGTAAAACACTTCGAAGGAAATATAATCAAGGCAATGGAATAATCCAGGTGATGGCTGACTTCTCCTGTCCCTACCACCCTAAATACCACCCTTGTTAAGCAACTTATCAAAATTCAGGCATCCTCAAAGGAAGGGCAGAAAGAAGGCTTAGAAACTCTTTAAAGGTGTAAAGAAAGATATACATAGGGGGAAAGTTCCTCAAAGAAGAGACTAAGATAAAAGCATTGAGACACAGATATTGCTTATAAAGTCCCTAGCACAATGTCTCCCTAGCAGGTACTAAATACACATAAAAAAATTATCTTTTTAAAATTTGTATTTTTATCCGGAGGGTCACCTTAGTTTTTAAGGAAAAACAGCACCTTCTCCAGGTGTAAGGATAAAACAGAATATGAGAAGCAGGTGATTATGACTGGAAACACAAAAACTGACTTTTTCATTTTTAGTCACAAATTACAATCCCTGAAAGATTTAAACATTAGAGATCCAACCTGCCTAGATCTCAGTCTCTCCCTAAAGATAACACACTTTAGTGTGTACCCTTCCAAAACTTTTTCTATGGATTTACAAATATCCATTTGTCCGTAGAAACATGCATCATTATGTAGATTTTTCTTGGGCGCCTTTCCACGACACTAGAGATTTATCCTATTGGTTCTAACATTGCAAGTCAGTCGTCCTAAAGGAGTGAGTTCCCAAAACCTATCCTGCCCCTCTCAAAACCAACAAACTGAGGGTTGCTGGGGGGCGGGGGGCGGAGATGGGGTGCCTGGGTGATGGACAATGGGGGAGTGTATGTGCTATGGCGAGTGCTGTGAATTAAGACTGATAAATCACACACCTGTACCCCTGAAACAAATACATTATGTTAATTTAAAAAAAAAAACCTAAAAAGTGTGAAGTGGTGAGAAGTAACGATATGGGGGGGATGCCAAATTCGAAGCAACACAGGAGCAAACTTATAGTTTCCAGAGCAGAAAGGTATGTGGGATGGAAGCCTAAAGACTCGCTAGAGAAGTCATTGTGAATAAAATACGTGCCTGCCGCGCCATCACAGACATTAAATCCTCTTCACAACCCCAAATTTTAAGACCTTCCTCTTCTAGAACGCTGATTGGACGACCTGCGCGAGCGCTTTCCGTAGGGTATCCGCCTACTGGCTCCAAATTTGGTCCATTTAGCCGCCCGACTCCTGCATTCCCCATTGGAGTCTACCCGCTGCCTCTTGGAGGAGCCCAACCTACCGCGCGCTCCGTGCTCATTGGCTTAGGGAGACGCCGCTCAGGAGCGGAAAACCCGCCTCCCACATTCCGATGGCCCAAGGACCGATCAGTCGGCAGCTAAATGTAGAGCCAATTGGCCCATACACAAGCCAGTCAAACTCTCCGGAGGCAAAGCTCCACACAACTTACAGGAATGAAACATCCCGCCCCTGTTCTTCCATTGGTTGGCCGAACCCACCGCTCCCCCTTCACTAGCCCCCACCCCGCGGTCCATTCATTTCACACAATAACGGGCCCAATTGGAGTCAGTTCAAGACCTAGTATGGGTAGGCAAGACTATCCGCCACTTACCCGGGATCGAGACCGATCACTCACGCTAATGTCTTCTCTGTTCCTCTGTGGTGAGGCCGGACCACAAGACACCACGGCCGCCGCCTTCTGCGCAACGCCAACCGCCCGCCAAAACGGATCCTTCCTTGCGCCTGCGCGACCAATCCTGGGACTGGACCCTTTCTCCGCCCATTACGCCTGCGCAAAACGAGGCACAACTCCCGCCACTACGCAGGCGCTGTAGATTCGCCGCCGTCTCCCGCCCGCCATTTCACGTGCTCCAAGCGCCAAGCGGAACTTCTTAATGCGCCTGCGTAAACTCGCCATTTTACTACACATGCGCTCAGCAGGCGGTCGTTGCAAAAAAAAAAAAAAGAAAAAAGTCACCTGATAACTTCTTTCCTAATACATAGTATTAACCGTGCTTTGTCAAGTGAGTTGAACGTAATTTCAGGCCTTGAAAGATTAAAAATTTATTTACTTTAGGTACATTCAAATATGAATGATTGGTTGGCGAGCCAATCACACTAGTTAAGGGTAATATTACACGGGAACCAATGGCCCCTAAGGGGTGGAGACTACGTAGAACGCCCTAACGGATGACGTTATACAGCAATGCGGGACTACAGACCAATAGCAGGGGGAAGCTATTGCAAATATCCAATCAGAGATACTCAGGGGCGGAGTCTACCAATGCCTAAAGCGAGGAGGCGGGATAAAAAAGCGAGGCCGAAGGTAGGCTGGCAGATACGTTCGTTAGATTACTCCTTTCTGCCCGTGGACGCCGCCGAGTAAGCATCGTTAAAGTCTCCCCTCCCACCGCCGTCATGTCTAAGTCAGAGGTGAGTAACACGCTGTCTCCAATCTCATTTTCTTCCTCGCTTCTTCCTGAGTTCGGTAGGATGCGGCCTCGTTGGGTTGTTTGCGCCAGCTCATTCGGCAGTTCTTCGGTTTCTGCCAGGGCCTACCCCTCCCAAAGTTCAGGTCGCCATTTTGTCCTCGTCGTCGCCATGAGGCCGCCGTCCTGCAACACTTGGTTATCACGCCAGGCTTGCCCCTTCTGGCAAAACAGTTAGGCACATTCGATTGGTTTTGTTTTACCTCGTCACAAGGGACGAGTTTTCTGAAGAACAGCTATAGTTCCTTGCTGGTTATGTATTTTTCTAGCCTAGTCCTTTTGTTGCGCGTGCGTCGGAGGGACAGTAGGGACGCATGCGCTCGTGGTTCCCAACCCCCAACATACGTCTCCCTTAATGGGGAGAAGCACGTGGCTTGCTGTGACCCGAAGGAACAATAAGGGCTACGTAACGTTGCTGCCTAGTTTTGCAGTTCCTAACTGAAAGGTGTCTGGCGTTATAGCCCACATGTAACGAGTTTTTCCCCTGCTGCTAGTCTCCCAAAGAGCCTGAACAGCTGCGGAAGCTCTTCATCGGAGGTCTGAGCTTTGAAACAACCGATGAGAGTCTGAGGAGCCATTTTGAGCAATGGGGAACACTTACGGACTGTGTGGTAAGACTTGGGAGAGACAAAAGGCCAGTAGAACTAGTCCGTTTACTTGGATTATTTTGTCGTAATTACTGTGCTTATGAAGATTGTTAACAGGATTGTGGTTGAAAATAATTTGGCAAGGCAAGGTGTGGTTTTACCTAATTAGAAGGTACTAGTTAATTTAGATTAGATGGGTAGTGGGAAACTGGAGGACTTTGCCTAAAGGGCTGAAAGAATTTATTATGTTACCCAGGGTAGAAATGACCAGAGGTTCTGGGGTTTTACTGTGTATTAAATGAGTTAACATTTCAGGTAATGAGAGACCCAAACACCAAGCGCTCCAGAGGCTTTGGGTTTGTCACATATGCCACTGTGGAGGAGGTGGATGCAGCCATGAATGCAAGGCCACACAAGGTGGATGGAAGAGTTGTGGAACCAAAGAGGGCTGTCTCAAGAGAAGTGAGTGATACTTTTTCCTGCTTCTGACGATTTAGAAGTGTGTCACTAAGTGGACTTCCCATTTAGGGTTCTTAATACACTTTAGTGATCTTTATTAAGGATACCTTTGCTGATACAAGAAACTTAATTGGGCTTTTTCATATTAGGATTCTCAAAGACCTGGTGCCCACTTAACTGTGAAAAAGATTTTTGTTGGTGGCATTAAAGAAGACACTGAAGAACATCATCTAAGAGATTATTTCGAACAGTATGGGAAAATCGAAGTGATTGAGATCATGACTGACCGAGGCAGTGGCAAAAAGAGGGGTTTTGCTTTTGTAACATTTGATGACCATGATTCTGTAGACAAGATTGTCAGTAAGTATCCGGGGCATACTCTTTGCTAGGGGTTCTGAAGTCCGTGTTCTGTTCTAAGCCCTGAGATCGTGTTTTCTTGGTAATTTTTTAGTTCAAAAATACCATACTGTGAATGGCCACAACTGTGAAGTAAGGAAAGCGCTCTCTAAGCAAGAGATGGCTAGTGCTTCATCCAGCCAAAGAGGTGGGTTTATTTGATAATTCTTACAGATAGCTAAGTAATTATAATCCGTATGATTTAACCTTTAAAACTTACCTTTAAAGGTCGAAGTGGTTCTGGAAACTTTGGTGGTGGTCGTGGAGGTGGTTTTGGTGGGAATGACAACTTTGGTCGCGGAGGAAACTTCAGTGGTCGAGGTATGTGTGGTTATAGTTTACCACTAAGAATTAATAGTGAGCCTTGTGGTTCAGTTATCCCTAAAGTTAAATTTGATCTAAGTGTAGTTGTGGCTTCTCAACTAACCAGAAGGTTAAATCTTGAGTATAAAATTAAGGGTATAAATTGTGTATAATTTATATACTTCAAAAAGCAGTTTAAAATTCTATTTTCTTCCAGGTGGCTTTGGTGGCAGTCGAGGTGGTGGTGGATATGGTGGCAGTGGGGATGGCTATAACGGATTTGGTAATGATGGTAAGTTTATTTTAAGGAGTATATAGGTGAAGTTTCCTTTGGCAACCTTTAGACTAGGTTAGTAAACTAGTGCATGACAAGCTTAGCTCTGATAACAAACAGCATGCTGTGTGCAGGCTTTTAGGCATTACACTTGCACAGGTTTTGATTGTTGAATACTTTTGTCTTATTGAGAAGAATTGTATTCTTGTAGGTGGTTATGGAGGAGGCGGCCCTGGTTACTCTGGAGGAAGCAGAGGCTATGGAAGTGGTGGACAGGGTTATGGAAACCAGGGCAGTGGCTATGGCGGGAGTGGCAGCTATGACAGCTATAACAACGGAGGAGGCGGAGGCGGCTATGGCGGTGGTAGTGGTAGGTATCCAGTGATCCAAGTACTTGGTGCAACAGCTAGATTAGCCCTTTAGAGTTTACAAGGGGATTTGATGCTCTTAAAAAGCATTTTGTGGTACAATGCATGGTATTCTTTTTTAATGGGCTTGCTAATGCTACCTCCTCCTAGCTTTAAGCTGGGGCCGCCTCACTCCCAAGATAGATATATGGTTAAGTGGATAGCGGTGTCTTTAATCAGAATTAGATTAGCTTCTAGCAGGATTTAATATTTCAACTCCTTTGGGATCTTAGGCACTTAGTTCATACATCCAGCATGTGTTTGTAGTGCCCTCGATGGGTAGTATCCTTCAAGGCTATAGACAATATGCTGTTAACCCCATGGTAAATTGGGTAAACCTTTTAAAGCGTAGTGGATTACTCAGCTGAGTGCCTTGCCCAGAAAAGGTTCAAGTAGCAGATAAAGGCCCTCTTCTCATTCCTAGGAAGCAACTTTGGAGGTGGCGGAAGCTATAATGATTTTGGCAATTACAACAATCAATCCTCAAATTTTGGACCCATGAAGGGAGGCAATTTTGGAGGCAGAAGCTCTGGCCCTTATGGTGGTGGAGGCCAATACTTCGCCAAACCACGAAACCAAGGTATTGTATATATGCAATGTTGAAGTGCTAGCTATCTATAGCTAGTTCTAGTAAAAAATACTAATTTTTAGGTAATGTTTGTATAGTAGTGAAGCGCTGACAGTTCAAAGCTTTTAGGAAATTTAAGTGATAGGTATGTGCAGTCAAATTGGGAAAGTCAAGTGAGCTCAAACTCTGGAAAATCTGGACATCTCTTGCCCCCAGTATAAAAAAATCTTGTTGGCATTCCAAAGATTAACAGGGACATACTCTCTTCTTAGGTGGCTATGGTGGTTCCAGCAGCAGCAGCAGCTACGGCAGTGGCAGAAGGTTTTAATTACTGCCAGGTAAGTAAACACCTTTTTATCTTTCAAGTTAATTTTTATAAATGATAATGAACCCAGTAACCCTAATGTAGCTGAGCAGTGCAAAGTAGTTAACATTATAATTGCAGTAAAATTTTGGATATTAAGTTAATATTCAGATCAGCAAAATTTGTGGGAAACAAAACTTGCTATTGGATTGTAGCCTTGAGTCTTAATATGTTTAGATTAACAACTTTATTCCATATTGTTCAACAGGAAACAAAGCTTAGCAGGAGAGGAGAGCCAGAGAAGTGACAGGGAAGCTACAGGTTACAACAGATTTGTGAACTCAGCCAAGCACAGTGGTGGCAGGGCCTAGCTGCTACAAAGAAGACATGTTTTAGACAATACTCATGTGTATGGGCAAAAAAACTCGAGGACTGTATTTGTGACTAATTGTATAACAGGTTATTTTAGTTTCTGTTCTGTGGAAAGTGTAAAGCATTCCAACAAAGGGTTTTAATGTAGATTTTTTTTTTTGCACCCATGCTGTTGATTGCTAAATGTAATAGTCTGATCATGACGCTGAATAAATGTGTCTTTTTTTTAAATGTGCTGTGTAAAGTTAGTCTACTCTGAAGCCATCTTGGTATACTACCCCAACAGTGTGAAGTTAGAATTCCTTCAGGGTGATGCCAGGTTCCATTCGAAATTTATTTGCAACCTGCTTGGGCACAGAAGCCATTGTCTCCACAAACCTTGGTGTAGTTGAACTGACAGTTAATGTGTTGTGACCTGGAGTTCACCATTAAAAGGTCACCCAAGCAAAGTCCTGGAGTTTATTTGGTTATTAATATGATTGTTGGCACATCCTATGCAATATATCTAAATTGAATTATGGTATCAGATAAAATTATAGATGGGATTAAAGCTTGTGTATCATCCATTATCATGTGTAATCAATAAACGATTTAATATTCTCTTGAATGGAATGACAACTGT